TCTCTCTCTCTCTCTCTCTGTGTCTTCCCAACCCGTCTCTTTTGCCTACCTACTTGGACCTGGTTGAGGCTCACCAGATTTGACTTTTATTAAAACAGATATGTCGACAGAATTTTCCTCTGCCCTCTCCTCATGATGTTTCGGAAATGTGACATAGTCTGTTCATTCCAAACAATGCTGTCAACTGGCGAAATGGCGTTCATAGGTAGTTGTGGATTTGTTTCCAGAGAGATAAACAAGAGTAGCTTACGATATCTTGACTCGGCTATTACCCCTACAGATTCTGGTCATGTTGCAAACAAAGGTCGTTAGTTAGTTAGTCTTTCCTCTTGAGTCTAAGGCGGTGCGTAGGGCAGAAGTCATAGGTCTGTATGTCTGGCGGTTCATTGCCACCTGTTTTAGGTATTGGATGTTCATTAGGCCCATGGTCGAGCTTTTTCTGATGATGGTAAGCAAAGGTCGTTACCAAGCACCTTTTGGGAAACGGGGATGGGGTGTCTAAACAAGACGTATACCCAGTTGGACTTGTTAGAAAGGGGAGTGAGTATACCCAGATACTACTGTAATTGTCAGTTAATGTGACAGAAGGATGAGGTGAGAAGGAGATCGCTGCTACCTGAGATGATGGACTTGAAGAAAAGGTCACGCTGATGGGAATAGTTGAACGAATATTGAACATACAGCACTGCAACATTATATCGAACACCAGATTATCATCCTGACCTTCTTTTTCTTGGGCACTTTGGTTTGCAGCAGGAGTTTAGTTGTAGCCAGCTTCCAAGCAGTGCACCAATGCATACGGGAAGAAGCATGGACGGACCTGATATCATCAACACTGTGATGAATATCTCACGTTAACACGATTGCGTGACATATGAGTAAAGATTTGTGAAGCACGTCTGTGTCGTCCTGAGGCCAAGACAAGAGAGACTGTAACCACATTTTTGTTTGAACAATCAATTGAAATACTTTTGAGTAGCTGCTGCATTGGAGGCCTGAGCACGTGCCGTGACGTCGACTGTGATAATATAACGTAAAATAAAAGTTACAGCCAGACATGTTACTTCACTATGAAAAGTTCAGTTGTTAGGGACGGGATGTCTTAGCGCCCTGACGCTGTCAACAGTGTCTACCTCTTAGACAAGGAAAAAATCTACAACGAAGGATCGTGTGAATGTAGTTGGTACCGGGTCGAGTAAGGTTCGCCTTTTGCTTCTTTTGTTGACTTAAATTCATTGACTCCGTCGGCGAGTGCGAGTCAACTCTCGCTCGTTAGCCGAGCTGTTGGCAAGATTGGACCGTTTGTTTATTTGTAAAATATGACAGTTAACCTTTGGTCAACGGAAACGAAATTACCTTTTAGCTGGCCACCGTTTGCCGTTATTGATGTTGTATTGACGACGGACTTTGGCAAAATCATCAAGTTCCGAATGGTCTTATTTGCCAGATAATGCACAGATTCAGAGAGAAAGCACTGTTGAAAGTTGAATTCTTTGCCTTGTTGGTTCCCAAACAGCGGGCCTCTTTGTGGCCAAGGAGTCACAAGAGAGGACGTTTAAACATAGTGTCAAGAATTGCTGTCATGTTCTTAGTGCTGTAGAAACGCGCCGAGTTCGTTTTTTCATTTGCTTTGAAAAGGGAAATTCTTAGAATAACTCATAAATCTTAGAATAACAGTTGTAATATCCTGTGTCGCGGTTGAATAATGGAGACAGTTGAAAGCGCATAGAAGCACCGACCACCATCGTGGTAAGTCGACCCCTTAGGTTCTGGTGAACAGAAGTGATCATCTTTTAGAAATTATTCAACAGTTTTGGAGCGATGGATAAGATTATCCGTCTCTAGGTAGAACAGTCTACTACGATAGGAACACGCATGTGATAATCAGTACCTAGGTAGATATCCTACCACTTTAGGGGCATAGAGTGATAACCAGTACTTAATTGAATATACAATATCTTTAGGCGATAGTCGTGAGTGTTGGTTAATATTCAGTATTTCTATTTCCACCTATTTTTTTTTTTTTTTTTTTCGTTCTATATTGACCTTCCTGGTTGTTTGGCTATATTTCGTTGACTGTGAACAGGCAATTAAAAAATTGAACTGAGTCCCTAGAAAAGCTTAATCGGCCGCTTTTCATGGAAACAAAAAAAAAGGTCAAAAACATCGGTCTGGAAAGACTGCGAATGAAAAGAGAATTACTGAAAGAAAGAAATAAGAGACAATTGAAATATTTTGGCCACATTGAAAGGCACAATACGGTTTAAAAACCATAATGGAGGGAAAGGTCGGGGCAAGAGATTAATAGGTAGACAGTGATACAAGTAGGAAGGCACACATCAAGAGATGGACTAGCAGCAGTCTGAGTGTACAACCAAGACAAGAGATATACCGTGTTGAAGATCCATTGCAGTCAACCTTCATTGTGGGGACGGCTCTTGATTGATTGATTCGTTGATATAGACTTTGGTCGAAACTTTAGGTTGTATTTGTGTCTGTCTTTTTCTTTCTCTCCGTTAATCTTCCTAGTTTAATTTATTGTTGTGCTAATTACTTCAAAAGTAGGGGTAAGAGACATAAGAGTGATTGCAAGTCTGTGGTAGACTATGTTCAGAATCCTTGTGAAATGACCGTAAATGTGTGGAGATCAAACAGTTAGCCATGTTCAGAGCCTGCCCTGTTCATCAGTGGACACATTAAAGAAATTGGTAAAAGATGAATATGTTTCAACCACAGAATAGGACTACTATAGATATCATCATCCTCAGACAGCAGGTACTTTACAGAGCGACGCTGTCGTCAGCAAACGCTATAGAAGTGAAGTCATATCTGCATTAACTATACGAAAGCATTTCACCACTAGACAAATTAAACATTGATAGACCAGATCTACGAATAATAAAGAACATCTATATGCAGCAAGCAGCCGCTAAAAGAATGAACTGTTTAGAAACATCCCAGAGCATTAAGAGGGTGTGTACTATCACCTGATTTTTTTGTTTAATTTTTTTATTATTTTTTTTATTTTTTTATTAGCGAATATTTAATGATAACTATACTGGATATGTCAAGAATTGTGATTGGTTGTCATAAACTGCTAGAGAGGCAAGAAACCAACAGACTACGTGCAGATAGGCTGTAAATGTGATACCACAGTTCCGCCATATATGTGAAACCAAAGTGCAGCCATATATGTGAAACCAAAGTTCAGCCATATATGCGATACCAAAGTTCAAACATGTATGTGAAACCAAAGTTCAGCCATATATGTGAAACTAAAATTCAGCCTTATGTGTGAAACTAAAATTCAGCCCTATGTGTGAAACCAAAGTTCAGCCATATATGTGAAACTAAAATTCAGCCATATATGTGAAACTAAAATTCAGTCATATATGTGAAACTAAAATTCAGTCATATATGTGAAACCAAAGTTCAGCCATATATGTGAAACTAAAATTCAGCCCTATGTGTGAAACCAAAGTTCAGACATGGAGAGCAGGCAGAACATTCGGCTGGAGTTTACAGCTCGTGAACGCTAAGAAGATGAAGACGTTATAAACCTGCGTTGTGCCGGTGACACCGTTGATAACCGACCAGTTAGAAAGAACTACAGGGGTGAGTTATATGTACAGTAGGGGTAGCAAGTGAAAGAGAGGGCCTCAGTTTTAATAGTGGAAGAACAGGAGTAATAGTAATGTCACAAAAAGGATAGAAAAAGTACAGAAATTCAAGTATCTAGGCACATGGATAACATCCAACGGATCATGTATCACAGATATAAAGAACAGAAAATGACAGGCTAAAACTGCATTTTGTAAAAATGAGCATTTTATTATGCAATAAATCCATGTCAATGGAGGTTAGAACAATAATTCTCGCATGCTGTATGGGGCCAGTTTTATCATATAGCTGGGAATCCTGGACAGTTGGTAAACAGGCCAATGTCTTCAGCCTCACAGATATGATTTTACAGACGAATCATTAGAATTCATTGGACAGCTCAAAAGTAACCCAGATGTTTAGAAAGAGATACGGGTCCGAGGGCAACTTACCACAAACATCAGATAGAGACAGTCGTCTTTTTTTTTTTTTGGGGGGGGGGGGGGGGGGGGGGGTCATGTTATGAGAAGAAGAAACCTGAACATGTGTGACTACTGGAAAGATATGTGGAAGTAGACAGAGGAAGACAACGCGAGAAGATTCTTGGCAGCCTTTTGTCATGAGATTAAGGGGTGTCAGCAAAGGCACGTGATGGTGATAATGAAATTATTGTAACGTAAAAGTATGACACTTGTAGCACAGTGTCGGAATGAATATGCTATTTATTGTTAATTGGCGCTCCTACTTATGTTTGGATGTTTTAATAACGGTGTCAGTTAGTCTATAAGTGCACAGGCTCGTTGGCATCTTGTTTCTATTTCCCGATCTATTCTTCCATCCTCCGAAAATATACTTTCTAGATATTTAAATTCTTTAACTTGCCTCAGAAAGCTACCATTCAACACAATATGTTGCAGACTGGGAATTTAGCTGACCGATGCATTATATGAATTTCTATAAATATAAATCTAATAATACCTCTGTATATGTCTTGTCTTGTCTTGTCCACAATTGCCTCACAGCGTAGTGGGGAGTCGCAGTTTTCTATCTTGGGCCAGGTGTGTTGCACGTGTTGTTGTTAGTCCGTGTTGCCTCAGGATCTCTGATATATTGTCTATCCATCGTACTCTCGGTCTGCCTCTTGCTCTAGGGCAGTAGTGCTGTTCGTTGTATGCTCGTAGAGGCAGTTGGTCGGTTTGCATTCGCATCAAGTGGCCAAACCACTCTATTTGTTGCTTCTTTATGTATTGCAGGCATGGTGTGGTTCCTACAATTGCTCTAATGTTCTCGTTTCGAACTCTGTCTCTCCTTGTGACACTTCTGTACATAACCACCGGAAATTCCAGATTGGTCAAGTTATTTCTACAGCAATTTCATTACAACATTCTATTTTCTGACAGAGTTATGAGTGGGCCCTGGAAGCTATGAAGTACATGTCCAGCATGAAAATGGAGCACAGCACCACCGCCGAGGGTTTGGATAAACTGCTGAAAAGCCTGAGCATTTACTTGTCGGAGCATCCGGCGATCTCCGAGGAGACGTTCGTTGCCATGCTGGAAGTGGCTCAGAGACTCAACAATGACAGGTTGCTGGAGCAATGCAAGCTGGCCAAGGCCCGCTGTCAGGTAGGAAATTTGTGCTTGCTTGTATCTTGTTCAACCCGTGTGCTAGATTGGTCCATACATGATTCAAAAAATAGCAAAGGCGATTAAAGGGTGTTGGTGTGAGACTAGCTGTCATTTTGTGAAAAATTAGCTGCAAAATACAATCAAACCACAAACAAGCAAGCGTATCATGAGCTTGGGGAGAATAGTTGAGGCCTTATGTTCCACTGGGAGATAAAGGATGAAAAAGAAGATCATCATCGGCATCATCATTATCTGTTTCCTGGTGACCATGTGCGTTCCTGATTGCTGCCTTGTTCAGTATTTAGCCCCAGAATCTTGTGTAAACCTTTGCTGGGGCAAATGTCTGTATGCTACTGGCTTGGCTGAGACGGCACTGTGTCAATTTGTTTCACAAGACGAGGGACATTGTATGTGGTTTTCGTTGGCATTGGAACAGACTTGTACACTCTCTTAGACTGTTGCCCGCCCATCTCTTGATGTTGTCCTCCCACTTGTATCGTTTCCTACCTCTTGCTCTATTGACTTCATTTCCCTCCCATGTGGTTTTTAACAGTATATTCTGTCATTTAATGTGGCCAAATATTGTTTAACCCTGAAGTTTATTACTTATTTTAATTACTTATTTTCAACAACAACAAAAAAAAAAAAGAACTAATCTGTAAAAATCCCGCGATTAAAAAAAATGTATATAATACATACTGAATCATGTCTGTAAATGTTACTTTTTTTTTAAGTTGAAACATCATTTTAGAAGTTTCACTACCCTTCTGACAGAGAAATATCAAGACGACGTAAAACCAATTAATCTGCATTTAGCACATTTAGTACTGTTACTCTGCGTTATTGCATGTGCGGGCAGACCATGTAAAGCAGTGCTCCCTGTTCTCTTGTTTATGCACATGGCTAATATTGGTTTTATGTTCTATGAAAGCTTTAACTTATCATCCATCAGGAAACTCATAAACTACTGCAAATGAGACACGCCACTCTGAAGCGGGCACGAATCCAGATGGGAGGAGAGCAGGTTGTGAAAGAAGATCCAAAAGACAAAAATCCATCCTTTTATTCAGTGCATATTCCTCGTGTCATGGGAGCACCACTAGACAGACCACATTCACAGACTGACAGTAGTGGCCTTAACCAGAATTCTCAAGATAGCCGCAGTTCGTGTATCATCCCGTCGTCTCTGAAGGGAAACACCCCCGAAGAGGTTACGGCACCCAGTGGAGATTCAGTGTGTGAGAACTCTCAGTGGCAACCTCAAGACTCCAGCACCCCAACTTTCTCAGACTGGCAAACCACGGGCGGCGGATCACAAGTTACCCCAGTCGTAGGGTTTAAATCAAAGAACAGACCTGATCACGCGTTACGAGTAAGCATAGCAGCTGCCCCGTTTTTCCACACACAGGCGGATTCAACTAGTTTATGCAGTACAGAAAGTCCGGGGTCAAGTCCCACAAAGATCCCATTGTCGGCATCATTTTCGTCGCCTCTGTCATCGTCTTCCATACAGTATGCCCCGACTTCAGTATCACTGCCCGTCTCCCCTACATTATCTACATCAGAGTCACCAGCCAGGGCCAGGCTGTACCAGCCACCGTCTTCCATGTCCAGAGTATATAACTCCTCCTCGAGGGTTTCTGTGCCATCTGTTGCCTCGGATCCAGCCAGGCTAAATGCCCGACGATCCTTGCCAAATTCGACCGGTATCACCGCTGTGGGAGCACCCGCACCAACGCGCCCACACAAAAAGATCCTCAAGCGTGCAAGTACCGCACCGATCCCTATGCTGACGTCACCCATACTGGAGGAGGAAGCTGGCCCGTTGGGTCACCCTCCCGTCCACGCAGAAAACAGCGGCAGCAGAAGTGAAGGGATTGTTGCCAGGGATCAGAGAAGTTCAAAGTCTCTCAGCGTGATCACTAGCAGCACAGAATCATTACCCAGGTGAGTTGTGTGTGTGCACGCGCGCACGTGAGCTTATATAACATATATTAGTGCGTCACAACATCTGCCCTAGTGTATTCTATATTCATTAACCCCATTTGCCTTTAAATTTATTAACACAATCTGCACTTATATCCTTTGTCACCCTTTTTCTCTTTAACACTAACCAGCTGCCAATTATTGCCTTTGTTATACCACTTTTGCGGTGTAGGCACGGAAGGAGGGCGGATCTTTGAGCCTGAGGTTTTACGGCCGCATGGCTAGTGCTGTCACCACGACTGTGCAGGTGAGGATTTTGTGTTGCTTCCTACAGAAAAAAAATCCTCAGCCTTACCGAGGCTTCAAACCCGGGTCTCCTTCTTTAGAGCCCAGAGTTTAACCGTTCGGCTAGTCACCCCACTATCCGCCAACGCATACACATAATCTGATCCTTTGGTTTTTCGCTTGATATCCAGTCCATGTTAACCATTCGTGACCATCGCCTTTGGCAATAATTTCTGGCTATCAAGACAGGTGAGCGACTTACTGTTCTCAGCTATAAAGTTATTCATTTATTCTTTCGGTACAAAATCCCCGGAACTGCGTCTGACACTATTGTGCATTGCCCTTCCGGTACTACCAAGAACTGCATGTGACAACTTCCCTTCATCAGAAAATGAAATGCTTAAAGTGACCTTCATATTTAGACTAAAGGGCTTGGTTCCTTCGCCCACTTGAGTTGGGTGCATAGTCTCACACTGTGAGCTACGAATTTCATTTGGAATTCTTTTCAGCTGTGCTCATCATGGTTTATGTTGTGAACTGCATATTCAAAAAATGACGATTGGTGTGCTGACAGAGATCTAGTGGGGCCCTAAGCGATTAATTGCGTATGCAACCACTGATCTGTTGCAGCTGCTTCTTCCATCGACAATAAACAGCATTTCTAGTGTCAAACTGTTTGTGTTGACACATCTGGTGGTGTGTCATGCATTTAAAGCGTATATGCTGTTGGCTTTGCAGAGAGTGTAGACACTGTCAGTTTTTTCACAAGAGACAGTGATTGGCATTCTTTCTAGTTTTCGTTGGCACAGGAACGGAGCAACTGTTCGATGACGCGTGGCACAGGAACGGAGCAACTGTTGAGTGACGCGTGGCACAGGAACGGAGCAACTGTTGGGTGACGCGTGGCACAGGAACGGAGCAACTGTTGGGTGACGCATGGCACAGGAGCGGAGCAACTGTTGGGTGACGCGTGGCACAGGAACAGAGCAACTGTTGGGTGACGCATGGCACAGAAACGGAGCAACTGTTGGGTGACGCGTGGCACAGGAACGAAGCAACTGTTGGGTGACGCGTGGCATAGGAACAGAGCAACTGTTGGGTGACGCGTGGCACAGGAACGGAGCAACTGTTGGGTGACCCGTTTGCTCTAAAGTCGGAACTACGGCTACCTGATTAACCAATGAAATGCTGGGTTGCTTGCCGTGTATTATAGAAGTGTGTGCTTGGCAAATTGTACCAGGAAGATCAGGAATCACCGGGTGTATGAGGTACCCAGTGAATCACTATGAGTTGATCACCTTTATATTATCTTTAGGTATAGAATATGTGTGTCATGGACTTACCTTCCTCAGTCATGGGGAAAGGGGGTGGGGTCGGAACTTTTAAATTGAAATGTTACAGGAAAATTATTAAAATGCAATGAAGGAAGTAGAAGCAAAAAAAAAAAAATCATCATCCTGCACGATCTGAACACCGAGGAGAGGTGGCTCATAAACAGCATTCTGTCACGAAAGCTGAGGTTTTTGGGCAGTTTTAAACGTCGTGGTGGTTTTAGTTGGGAGGGGGGGGGGGGGTGTACGGTTTGCTGGAAACGAGGCAAAGGCAGACCTTCGTGAACGTAGATAAAAGACATTAAAGCTACATTTGCCTGGACAGCGCGGAGGCACAAATAGATCATTACTCTCTGAAGAGAATGGCGCTGCAGCGGGTTATCATGGGATCTGGCTGACGCTCAACACTCAAGGAAAAGGCGAGACGGATGTACAATCAGACAATTACTGATACCATCGGAATTTGAATTCTTCGCTTACACTGAAGATGGGGACGGGACGCTTATGGGAGTGTCCCGGGTGCTGTGATATCGATTCTTTATTCAACATTGCTGTAAAAGCACATAGGGCTGGACAAATGACTAGAGAGAGAGAGAGTTTACGCATGCCGGGACGAGAACCTGCTGCTTGATGATGAACATAATAGAATATACGGTGCCGCATGTATTTATCATCATCCTGATGCACGATGATGGTCCTCATGTTTCCCCATCTCACACGCTCACGAGAACCGGGGACAAGGTCAGTGTTCTTGTCTCGCCCTATCCATGTGGTTAAGCTAGCCAGGGATTTATCTCTTTAACTTTCCCTAGCTTTTCCCGCCAGTCTTGCCAGCTACAAGCAAGCTCTGATCATAAATTCATTTGTAGTGTGAAGTCTAGCTGTCAGTATTACCACGTTTTTGACTGCCAGTAAATGTAGCGTTTTACTATTCTCGGAAAGTATTTCTGCGAGCGAAATGGATAAAATCCTGTCTGGAGGAGATTTTGCTTCAAGACAAATTGGCTTTGCTTTGTCGTTGAAGAAACTAGCTCAGATTAGGCTCAAGGTCGTCTGCCGCTTGCCTACGATCGCATACCTTACCTGTTGATTATTCCTCTGTTGTGAATGGACTCCCAAAATCTTTGGCAACAGACAACTTTAGTTTCTTTTGGCATGCGAATGTGTTCGGTATACCGCCATGGGCGAGACAACTGTTAATCTGGGGTTTACTGTTTTACCTGCTGATCGACCTTGGAGTCAACTGAATAAACTGTCTTTTCAGAAAGTGGAAAAAAAAGTATCAAGCTGAACATCAGAGGAACAGAAGAAATGGACATTACAAAAAAAATGTCTTTCATGTTGTAACATCAATGTAAATGGGACAGGTCTGAAGCTTGGGAATACGTGTGAATTCTTCATTATCAAGTGCCTGGTTGCAGAGGCTTCAAAAAGGTGGAGGAGGAAGGGGAGTTG